TCCAACTAAGAGGTGAGCTTTTCCCCAACCCAGCTTAACATATCCCATCACATCGAAGCCCAGGTCAGATCTTCTGCACAGCGGCCACTGGGAGGGAAGAGACAGAAGTGCAGACACTGCTGGAAGCCACCCACATGTGCTGCATTGTGACCCCCCTCACTGGCAAATGTAGCCCATCTGTTCCCTGGAATCTGAGCAATTCAGAGGCTGCTTCTTCCTGAGTGTGTGTGTGTGTGTGTGTGTGTGTGTGTATAGGAAATCCCTTGAGCGCTCTGCCTCCCCTGGATGTGGGCATGAAACATCCATCCTGTGTCAGTCACTAGAGATACCAAGATGAATGAGCCATCATCCCTCCTTAAGGTACTCTTAGGGCAGTTGTGTTATTACAGTTGGGTGAAATCTAACACTAACAGTCTTGTGTGCAGACAGTTATTGGAGCAGCAAATTGGAGCAATGAGTCGGATTCTTGGAGAAGTCTTCACTGAAGAGGTGTTGCTTTCATTGAGTCTTAGTGAATGAGTTAGAACTTGTTAGGGTTTTCATGGTAGAAGGAGAAGAGAAGTGGGTTAAGAATGCCCAGACACTTAAATCTCCCATCTGGAAGTGACACGCATCACTTGTGCTCATGTTCCTTTGGCTAAAGCAAGTCACAAGGTCACATACCTAAGTACCTGTGGGCAGGGAAGTACAATTCTACCACGTGTCCATATGGAAATGATTCAAACTAGCCAATCCTAAATTTGTTCTTGCTGCTTTGGCTGTTCCTTCACTTGTGTGTGTGTGTGTGCTCAGTCATGTCCAACGCTTTGCCACCCTATGGACTGTAGCCCGCTAGGCTCCTCTGTCCATGCAATTTTCCAGGCAAGAATACTGGAGTGGGTTATTTCCTCCTCCACGAGATCTTCCTGACCCAGGGACCGACCTGGCATCTCCTGCATTGGCAGTGGGATTCTTTATCACTGAGACACCGGGGAAGCCTGTTTCTTCACATGGAAACCACAATAAATGTTTTTGCCTACAATTATTCCCTCTCCCTTGCCTCCTGACTGACGCTGGTGTTTCCCCATGTGGCCCCTACGGTATGGCCTGCCTCTTGTCTTGGAAACTGTGAGCAACAAATTATCTTTTCAATGGCACTTGTTTCCCGATCTATCTTCCTTACCATAGCTAAATAATAATAAAACTTATTAAGATACATCCATATTCTGATATCTCAGCTATTGATGATATCCGAAACTGAGAACTGGGAGATGCAAAAGCAGATACTCTGGGTCCTCAAGATGGATTGTGGCAGGCAGGGCAAGACCAACCCAGCCTCAACCAGCTGTGAGACTCCCGTCTCCCAGAGGAAGAGAAGCCCTACTCCCGTCCTGAGAACAACAAATGAGGCTGAGGCATTTCTTTGTGGGAAATGAGTCACTGACTTCCTATCTGATCAACTCCCAACAAAAAATGGGCAAGCCCAAGCTCTGGGGTCTGCATGGCTTCCTTGCTGGGCTCCACTGCCAGACTGCCCAGAGACCTCTTTGATGCTGACCTCGCCTCAGGGAAGGGAATGGACATAGGTGATTGACAGGGGTGAACATAGGCGATTGACAGGGTGGCCGAACTGCTTCCCGAAGCTGACCTGTTGCACCTGGGCCTCCACACTCTAGTGGTTATTCTTCTACAGCCCCAACCAGAGCCAATGAGACCAAGACTGTGGAAATATGGGCAATGGAAAGTGGGATTCCAGGCTTAGGTACCGCTGATTGATCAGTCCAGCTATTAACACTGTGATACTGAGGATTCCTCACTAGGCCTCATACTTCTTATCTGTAAAATGGCCACAGCAGTCTTATTTCCTGACCCAGAAGATTTGCTGTGAGGATTGACTTCCTCAATCTGCAGAAACAAAATGAAATTAAACAAAAAAGCAAGTAAAAAAACTACAGCAGGAAACATAATAAATGATGAAATATTGATAGCGTTCCTTTGAGATCAGGCATGAGATAAGGATGCCTATTACTATTACTTCTTTCCAAAATGTACTGGCAATACTAGCGAGTGCACCAAGGCAAGAAAAAGAAATAAATGTTTAAAGATTGAAAAGAAAAAATGAAAACTCTCATTTTTATAGATGAAATACAGTGTTCGCCTGTGTGCATGTGTGCCTGCTCAGATACTCAGTCGTGTCGAACTGTTTGCAACCCCATGGACTGTAACTTCACAGGCTCTTCTATCTGTGAGATTTTTCAAGCAAGAATACTGGAGTGGGTTGCCATTTCCTCCTCCAGGGGATCTTCCTGACCCAGGGATCAAACCTGCATCTCCTGGGCCTCCTGCATTGGCAGGTGGATTCTTACCACTGTGCCACCTAACATTCTACAGAAAAATTGTTAGAATAAGTGAGTCTGGCAGTGTTGTTAGATATAAAGGCATTGCACAAAAATATATTTGTATGTTCCAGATCTCTATTCCCAAGTAACAAATCATTCCAAAACTTTATGATTTAAAATTATAATTGTTTATTATCTCTCATGATTTCTGTGCACTTTGGATTGAGGAAGAATTCAGCTGGATGTTTCAGGATTTTTCATTGTTTCAGGATTGCAGTCAGTCAGTATATGAAGCTAGAATGGCAGGGGACTGGTGGCATTTTCCTCTCTTTTTTCAGTCTTAAGGCCACTGCATATGGATCCTCTATGTGGGTTATTTTAGACTTCTTCAAAGCACAGCAGCCTAGGGCTTCTTACATAGTGCTTAGTGTTCCAAAGACAAATGTCCCAAGACAAAGAGCCAGGCAAAAGATATATCAACTTTCATAACCTAGACTCAATTCTTATCACTTCCACTACATTCAATTTGTTAAAAACCATTAAGACCAACAGTTTTAAAGAGGAAGGTTATTAGGCTCCACCATTTGGGAGGATATCAAATAATTTGCTAATGTATTTTAAAACCACCACACTATACTGGCAACAAAAAGAAAATTAAGAGAAAAAAACCTCACATGTAAAAAAACCCATTTATAATAGCATCAAAACCATGAAATATCTAGGACTAAATCTATTAAAATGTGTGCAAGTTCTATACATGAGAAACTACAAAACACTGCTGAGATGACTTTTTTAAAAAAACCTAAATAAATGAAGGGACATACCATGTTTATGGATAGGAAGACTTAATATTTAATAATGTCAGTTTTACCCAAATTGACCTAAAGATTCTATGTGATAGCAATCAAATCTCAGCAGGATTTGTGTGTGTGCCAGTGTGTGTGTAAACAGATAACCTTATTTTAAAATTTTTATGAAAGTGCAAATGTCAAGAATAGGCAAGGCACTCTGGAGGAAAAGTGGGTAGATTTATTCTATGAGACATTAAAGACTTATTGAAAGCTACAAAAATTCAGTCAGTGTGACAATGGCTCAAGAAGAGACAAACAGGCTAATGGAACACACTAGAAAATTCAGAAACCATCTGATGAACATATGGACTACCTGGTTTATGACAAAGTTAACACTGCAGAGACGTGTGAGGAAAGGCAATCTTTTCAATAAACGCTGCTGGGTCAGTTGGCTGTTCAGATGGGGAAAAAAAGCAGAGGGGCTAGTGGGAAATTCATTCTAATGAGATATGACAGTGAATTTTAGAAACAATGACTGACGAAATGTATTTAGAAGTTCTTTCCTTTCTGAGCTGTAATTTCCTTCTGTTGTTCCCAAACCTTTAGTGAAAGCCTCTTTCCCTCACCTATCTTGTATCAGGGGATCCTTATGGCTATAAATAAGTGGTCCTAGCTTGAAGCCAGGACCAGCAAAGCCCAGATCACAGTTGGGAGGCAAGTTCCAAGCAAGAGGCTCACTCCTTTTTCTCCCGATGCCAGCTCATGTCCTGCTGCCACTCAAGACTCCCATTCTGATTTGCTTCCGCTCCTGGCCTCAGACCCTTCCCAGCCAGCCAGCCTGAGTGTACCAGAGTCAGGAGCCAGAGGGCAGGGGTGGTGGCCCAGTCCGTGGAAGGGGAGGGAGGAGATGCCCTCCGAGTAGACAATTCTCAGATGGGAAGGAGAGGAGCAACATAGGCTAGCTGCCTGCAGGTGCTGGGAGGAGTTAGGGGCTTTTTTTGTGGGAGGGGGAGCCCGTTTCAGTCACCTCTCTGCCCCACTGTGGGAGCCGTCTCATCTCCGGGCTCTCACTCCAGGAGACCGTGGTGGCTAGTGGTGGTTGTTGGTCGTGGTGATGCGAGTGGTCGATTCTGGCCGCCTCCCCAGAACTTCACTTTCTAGTCTATTATTTCTATGACCCTTCCCTCTCTCTGTCATTAAAGGATGCTTTAGACTCCTCCAGGTGGTTCCAGTCCTGGATCCTCTGGACACCGTGGAGCCCACTCCGTTACCGATCCCACAAGTCCTTGCCTCAGTTTCCTCACCTGTAAAGTGAGGATTTAAGCAGCAGCCCCCCTCCCCTCTCAGGGCCACTCTCTCAGTGCTCTGATCAGTGGGACCGGGAGCGAGGACACCCTACGATCGGCCGACCTCGGGCTCTGGGCAACGCCGGGTAACGCAGCATCCATCTCCGAAAGTGTTGCTTCTCTTCTGCCACCTTCAGGGCTCAGCGACGCCCTGATATCTGGGGCGGGGAGAGTCCCACTTCTGGGGAGGGGTGTAGTACGGCTTTCTCCCTCCCCTCACTCTTGGTGGCGGAAGGCGGGACGGGAGAGGGCCGTCTGGACAGGCGCGCAACCCTCCGGGACCCGCGGGGGCGGAGAGCAGGGCGGGGGACCGGCGGCTGCCCGGACCGCGGGAGCGGCCTCCCCCCAGGGCCCAGGCCCCCGGCCCTCCGCGGCGCCCGCGGCCGGAACAATAGGGCGCGCTGGCGGGCGGGGGCGGGGCGCTCCGCCGGGCGCCGCCCCCGGCCCGCCCCCCGCGCTCGCACACCCGCTCGCACACTGGCTCCCACCCGCCGCCCGCCCAGGCACTGCCCGCGGGAGCCGCCGCCGCCGCCGCCGCGCCCGCCATGGACGTCCGCCTGTACCCCTCGGCGCCCGCGGTGGGCGCGCGGCCCGGGGCCGAGCCGGCCGGCCTGGCGCCCCTGGACTATTACCACTGCGGCAAGGTAGGCGGGGGCGGGGTGGGGGCCCGGCGGGCGGGGCCTGCCCGCGCCTTCGGACCCCGCGCCGCGCCGGAGCGTCCCGGGCTGGAGCGCGCGGGCAGCGGTCACCCGGCGGCTCGGGACGCGGGCGCTCTCGGGGACACGCGCGGGGAGATGCCGGCGGTGAGGACGCGCGGACACATGTACCCCCCCCCAGCCCTGCCGACGGGCACACACGCCGCTCACGCCGATCCCCTTGGCGGGGACACTCAACGCCTGGAGTTGGGATCACAGGCAGAAGTCACCCGACAGTTGCTCACACGAAGTCACGGTGACATACTCACCACGTCCCCCCTGACGGCCTCGCCTGCATTCACGAGCCGACGCGCAGTGACCCACGGTCGCCCAGCCATGCACCTGCTCACACTCCTGTCCCACACAGGTCACCCTCCTCCGTACACAACCACACGCAGTCACGCGCGCACCTACACTGTCACCTCGCCACGTACAAGTCACTGTTCTCACGCGCCGCCGCCGCACACCGCGTCCCGGGCCCCCACGCCGCCACACGCAGCCACAGCTGGGGACAAGCACACAAAGACGTCGCTCCGACAGTCACTCGCCCGCGCTCCCAGTGACTCCCACGGTCGCACGCTGTCACCCACAGCCACCCACCCCGTGGACGGTGAACTTCAGGCACACGGATCACCCTGACAGTCACCCAGTCACGCGCGGTCACACCCAGGGGCAGCCGCATCCCGCCCCCTCTCCCCCCAGTCCGGCCGTCCACACCCGCGCGTCGGGATTTTTAACTTCTTGCCGCCGAAGCGCACGAATTGGGCCGTTTACGAATCGGTTGTCATCGCCCGCCGGGGCCTCGGATTCCTAGCTGGCAATGGCCCATCGAGGCCTGTCCCCTCCCGGGAACGGCGAGAGAGCGCTCTCCCGGCTGGAGTTGTGGTGAGGGGCGCCCCTTCTTTCCCGAGATCGCCACCCCCACCCGCGACCAGGTCCCACCTGCACAGCCAGGTCCCCGCCGCGCTGCCCCGCCCGGGCGCGGTGCGAGCTCGCGCTTCTGGAAGCCCGGACGGGCGGCGTCCGACCCCGCTCCGCGCTCGCAGCCCAGCCCCGGATCCTGCGGGGCAGCGGCGCAGTCCGAGACGCTTCCTTCGCCCGGGAGGGAACTTTCAAACTTAAGTTAGGAAGCCGGACGGTCCGTGCGTCCGCAGGTCGGTGCGTCGGTCCCTGGCCGGACGGAGCCGAGCGCGGCTTTTCGTCACTCGGAGCCCGGATTGAACGGCGCGCGTGGGTTTCCCGTGGCCAAGGCGCAGACGCGCGGGCTCCGTGGCGCTGCGTGGTGAGTGCCAGTCCCGTGGTTGGGTCGGCGCCCCTCCGGGGTCTTAACCCCACCCCGCAGGCTCTTCATCGAGCTTTTTGCTATGGGGATGGTGCGGGGAGGGGGCTTCCCCGCGCGGAACCTGGGGGCCGCCCCGGCTGAGCCTCGCTGGCTGCGTCCTCAGGCCTTGGGGAGCGGCTTCTGGAGTCTAGGGTCAGAGCCCAGAGCAGTTCCCTTGGGGCATGGGGTGGAGTCCGGGGCCCCCAGACCTGGGGCGGGGACCGGCGGTAAGTAAGATCGCGCGGAGGATGGGGCGATTTATCGTTCGTCCAGTGACCGGCAAAGTCAGAAGCAGAAGAGGAGGATGGTGTCTTCAAGAGAAGGCCGATTCTCTGGGCGCTTCCATCTGATGGAGGGAAAATTGATGAGAAGTAGCAAGTGGAGTCTTTAGGAAGGAGAAGACAGTTGGATGTGCGGGAGGGGGGGGGGCAGTGGTCTATCTGCTGCCCTTGGCTTTGTTATTTTTTAAAATATGAAGTTGGCAAGGCTCCACCCTCTGGTTTGGGGGCATGGGTGAGTCTGGGGATGTGTGCCTCAAAGTCTGGTTAGGTGGGTGCCTGTCGCCTGCAGTGTTCCTTTGCAGGGTGGTGTTTCTGTAAGCCCCTTTAGAGTGGGGTGGTCTCCTAAGGGGGCCTTTGGGAGGTGGCATTCAGCGAGGCCCCTGCTTTATTCTGATGTTCTGTAAAGCTCTGACTCAGCACCAAGATCCAGTGTGAAACCCTAGTAGGAGGAAACCACTCAGGGAAGGAGAAGCTGGTGATTCTGGTTTCTGTCTGTGATCTCCGGACCCCTGGCCTAGGTGGAGGGTGTGTCCAGATGGGAGGACGGTGGCAGTTGGGTCACCAGGATAGATGAAAACCAGGACTGACTTTCTACTTGGACGTGGGATCTGCTTCTCAATCCTGCAGCCTGGTGGCAGGGGGAGACAGAGGATGTCACTTGGCTCAGAGAGGGACGAGTCAGAAGCCTGTTGGTAGCAGATCACCAATGGGCCCTCACCTTCAGTGCTAGTGGTTGGGGGTGGTGGTGCAAGTTGTACCAAGGAACTGATGCCCCTTGTTCTGCCAGGCTTCTTGGTACAACAAGGAGGGATTGGGGAGATCCTGGTCACTCTCCAGATTGGAGGGGAGACACACCCAAGATGCAGCCATGACCACAATTGGGATCTATAGAGTGGGGTGCACAGGCAGGACGTGACCCGCACATTGGGGGCTTGGTCACTGGAGTCTAGATAAGAGCCTGGTCCCCACAAGGACCCAAACCTGAGAAACACAAGGACAAGCCTTTGCCAACTGATGCTGGACAGCCATGGGGCAGTTGACCTGGAAGGGCCCTTGGCGACCGTTCCCTTGGTGACTGTCCCCTTAGCAATCCTCTAACACAGAGATTCTAGCCTCTTTAAACCAAAGTCATGAGCAGTGGCTGTTCTTTTGGTATCTTTTATTTGAGAAAATGCACAATGACAAAGCTGCTATGGTTTCATTTTTGCTTTGAAATAGATGTTTATTTTATTAATCACAATAATATTAGCATACATTTGAAAAATAGCTTATAAGATATGAAACAGGCACATTACTTATTTCATGTAGTAATGGTGCCTGGTTGAGCATAGGGATTTGTGGCCTTGTAGCTCTATGTGTGTCTCCCCACTAGGAACCACTGATCCCTTCCTTCTTCCTTCACACAAGGGGAGACTGAGTCATGGAGTAGTATACTCATAGGTTACATAGCAAATGAAGAGCGCAGCGGAGGCCTGAACCCAAGTTCCTGGACTCCCAGTTTGATGCTTGTCTGGCATTCCCCACAGGTCTCTGTCGTGGTTTGGGAGTTATGATATCCTTCTAGGGTAACTATGAAGTCCCTTCACTTGGGTTTTGGCAAGGTGCTTTATCAGGATGGGCGCATTGCCCGGGGCTCCCCGCTTAACTGTGGCAGACTCGTGGAAACTGGCCAGTGGCATTGAGCAAATCTGGATTCAAGCCTCCACTTGTGTCTTTGTGACCTAGGGCAAATGATTTTAGCTTATTGAGGTATGATTTACATGCAATAAAATGGAAATTTGAAGTGTACTGTTCCATGAGTTTTGACAAATATAACCACCCTTGTGACCCCTATCCCTATCCAGATATAGAACATTCTGTCACCCCAGAAAATTCTTCTTGCTTCTTTCCAGTCAATACCCCCTACCTCTGGAGGAAACTACTTACCTGATTTCTATTATCAGTGGTTTATCTAAATTCAGTTTATGTGCACTAAGTCAATTTAAGTCCTAGACCTTCATATGAAGCATATACATTTTTGCATCTGGGTTCATTTTGCTCAATGAAGTGTCCTTAAGATTCATCCATGTTGTGTATATCCAAAGTTTGTTCTATTTTATTGCTTAGTAATATTACATTGTATTGGTTTATTTGTTCCCCTTGCTGATGGACATTTGCGTTTGTTTCCATGTTGGGGCAGTTATAAATAAAGCTGCTGTGAACATCCTTATACAAGTTTCTGTGAACGGGGCAAATTATTTAATATGTTAAGGACAACACTGTCTACTTCTGAGGTTCCGGAGAGTTAATTGAGTGGATACAGGGTATAAAAGTTCTTGGCACATACTGGCTACTAATTAGATAACAATGGTTTCAACCACTTGGGACCTATTCCAGTTAGAGGCTTAGCATCTCTGTGTTCCACATATCCTTCATCCCTGTTTCAGACATCTTTCAGGGCCAACTTGGGTACCACTCTCTCCATGCAGTGCTCCATGGTCAACAACCTTCTGTCTTTTTCCAGGTCTCCCCCCAAGAACTGGTTACTACATGGGTTTTGGCATGTTCTGCCATCCATCATTCAGTCAACAAACAGTTATGGAGCACATCTTTGTGCTAGGCACCGTACTTGGCAACAGAAGTGAAACAAAGTGACTCAAATTGCTTCCCTCTGGAGCTTATGTATCAGCATGGGAAGTCATAAATATATGGATGAGATTGTTATGGTATTGTGACCGATGCCGTCAGTACAACTATGGAGAAAAAGGAAGCAGGGAAGAGAGTTAGGGGTGTCAGGTCCAGGGACTGGTTTGCCGTTTTAAGTAGTGAGGTTGGGGAAGGCCTTGTGGTCTAGACCAGGAGTTCTCAAATTCATGTACACAATAGGAATCATCTGGCAAGATTTGAAACAGGTTCCGGGGCACCCCTTCCCTGAGATTCTGATTCAGCTAATTTGTGCTGGGGTCCTGAGGGTCTGCGTGTCTGATGAGCTCCCAGTCCTGCCGCTGCCACTCTGGAGACCACATGTTATGTAGCAGCGGTTCGGTTGTTTGTATACAGGGTTTTGTGGGCTCCCACCAGGCAGGAACCATGCCCAGCACCTGGCACAGTGCCTGACCGATAATTACTCAGGAAATTGTGCTGGTGGGTGAGTGATTCAACTCTCCACCCCCACAGCTCTGGGCACAGCATCTTGCCCCTGGATGCGATCTAGACAGGCTTGGGTAGTGAATGATCGGCGGCCCCTTGAGACGAAAATCCACAAAGTGGGAGGGGCTGGTCCCACCTTCACCCAGACTTAAAATTGGAGAGGCCTGCTCAGCATCCCTGGTAGGTGAGGTCCCCACAGCATCTTTCTGCTGGGACAC